AGAAGTTGTCCCTTCTGTTGTAAAGAACAATACCCCTTTAACAAAAAATGACTTACAACTATTGCAATTACAGTTAGTTACTCCACAACTCAGACCATAGACATTTTCATTGTTTGCCACACTTAACTCTGACCAAGTTTCTACTATTAATTTTTGTCTTGAATCCAGCCAATGCCAAATTAACATGGGACTTTATATATGATATATATATATATGTATGCAATATATATGATTTTAAACGGAACGTAAATGTACAGATCTGTAAGCTATGGTATCTTATTCATTCATGGCTTTCGTGCTACTCTTTCCTAATGCTGGATGCATTTACTTTGATTTAATGGACTCTTTTGCCCTGATTGTGAGGTGCAGTAGCTTGGTGGAAGTGGCAAAGCTTTTGGACTGTAGTGATGAATAGAAAAGCAAGCAAATGCTCTACCCCCTTGCCCACCCACCCCCACCCCCCCAACACTGGGAACTCTTAGCACATGGAGGAAATAGGCTTCAGTTAATCAGGATTCCTCAGGCTCCACAGACTCCTTGTGTCTCTGCCTGTGAATGACAGCTTGAAATAAAGTCCAATCACAAGTCTGGCAAGTCTGAAGGCTGAATGTATGGATATGGCGGTGTGTGTGTGTGTGGATGTGGAGGGGGGTGGAGGGGTTGGAGGGAAGCTGGGTCACGTTCCACATACGCTTGATCTGAAGGAAATGGTGAAAGGAAACTGCAGTCAAAAGTACTGACAGTGCATGGAAACACATGCTTGTTTAAGTTTATCAGCTTCCTGCCCCTTCCAACATCCTAAACAGAGTCTATTCTCTCCCTGTCCGCCTTTCTCCAAAGCAAATTATCTTAAATTGTGCTTACATCATAGAATCCCAGTACTTATCTGCAGCATTTCCAAAAGGCATTTTCTACAATTATTCCAAGAAACGGCATTTTTAATGTGTATTGCTTGCTGTGTGCTGCTCAAATTAAAAACCACAGCAGTGTGACTAAATCCTAGAGATTGGGTCCCCACCCAACCTCTAACCCTTGTTTAAAAGCATCAGTATAACGTATAAGCAAAGGAAATGGGAATTTTTTGAATGTAATGCACTTGTTGATTTTAGTGGATTTATTGCTCCATATATATATTACATATATCTACGTAGCATTCCAAATTAGCTAATGTTTAATGTTGACTATCTCTGGTGGGGTGGAGGGGGGGGTGGTGGTGGCGGGGGCAGGGGGTTGAGCAGGAGAAATCTTTGAACAGCAACTCCTTTGTGTCCACGGGATTAAAGAGAAGGCAGTATGTGATCACTGTGTGGGACATTGCGTTCCTAGACATGTCACAATGATAACTGCTGAGACGGAGCACCTCCCCTCCACCACCCCCACCCAAAGCCTTATTAAAATAGTTTTGCCCAGAATGCGCTTGCTGCAGCTGTTGAGCTGGCTGGCGGAGCTTTTGATCCTGCCGCTGAGCAAATCCTGCATTGCCAGTTTGCTTGTTCTTTTTCCCACCTTCTCCTCCTGAAGACGCAGAATCTTGCTGGGATTTGATTCTAACACCTCCTTCCAACTTGGCAAGCTCGTATTTGCTTTAAAATCAAACTGGCAGACATTAAAAGTTTGAATCAGCCCAGTGATAATTATCACATCATATACCACAACCCGTTCAGCCAATGAACAGCAACAGGCGATGTTTCTAAGTTGCTTTCTTTCACTTCACTGTATATTTTGTGAAGCCCTTTGAGACGTCTTAGAGACATGATAAGGCCCTATATCAAATGCAAGGATTGTTATTATTATTAAACATAAGTGTTTTGGTGTTGTTCTGTGAGGATGCTACACACTGATATCTGTGACGGATAAAAGGGACCAGGTTAAACTGGGCTATTCTAGGGCCTGTTTCTTGCCTCTTCTATCCAGCTATATGTCAGTGGGCTGAATCCTGGGATAGTTCCTATTGCCTTTGCGCGATGAACATAATTGCAATGTTTGGTTGTGGCTCCAAATAGATTCCTTCCCAAGCCCTGTAATTTTCAAATGTGAGAGTCCATGAAGATTGTAGGTTTGAGAGAGCTGGAGGCAGGGGAAAGAGGGATTTACAAAAAATGAAGTCTAAATGGGTTGGTATGTCGTAATTAAGCTGGTAATTTTTGTGTGGAGATTTGTCCTAAAGAAGTAGGAAATTTCTATTTTCCATAACCTTCTTTGTCCAGTTGTTTCAAGAGCAACAATATTATGGCCTTTAGTGATATTTTTGATAGGTTTCCATTAACATTTAACACACACGCGTTCAGCTTCTTCTTTCGCCCACTTCTCACACTCCTACGGACACCAGCTGCCCTCTTATTACCTCATTCAACCTAGCCATTCATTACTTAATAGGTTAGACAGTGAGTATCAACAGCAACAACAAGATTACGTTTGTATAGTGCCTTCAGCAGGCCACCTGACTGTGTAATGTCGCTGCTGAGTGTAATCATAAGCCCATAAATTCCAATATGGGGTTACTGGATTGAGATCAGGAATGGATAAGCAGGAATGGTTTCCCCACCTCTTCCCCCCCAAAAAAAAAACTTTGGGTACTGTGGCCAATTGGAGTTTCTTGGCTTATGAGCTAAACAGATGAGGGATCAAACCTGGGACCATCCTGGTCCCCATTGCCCAGCTATTTGCTACATAAACTCACTCAGCCATGGAAGGCAATAGTTTGTTTTATAAATTCCACCCTCCCCTATCTCATTCTTTTCCTTCCAAACCTTCTTCCTGGCTTTCTTCAATCACAATAACCAGACGTTCATCAGTGGCACTGCAAACAAGGAGACAAGATGTCTATTGCAAGACAGAGTAGATCACCCAAATCACCCCTAGATAGAATACAATAGTATTAGGAGGTGTTCTGTCCAGTGACACAGTCAAGAACTGTCAACAACTTGCCTTTAGAAGGAGATAAAGCTTAGTCCACAACCTCTGAATAGACAGCCTGTTCTTCTGTGACTGCTGCACCATTGTGTTATGGTGCATTGTACAATATTCAGGCAGCACCTTTCACATTGCTACCATGAGTTTAATACAGCTAATCACTTTCTTAATTAAATGTCATTGATGTGTATTTAAAAAGAAATGGGCTAATATTGTAGATGCAGGTGGAACAGCAACAACTTGCCTTGGTATAACATCTTTCATGAAGGACAGTTGTCCTTGTTTAACACCTTTCATACATGGTGAATGTCTCGAAGCACTTACCAGATTTTGGACCTTGGTTTAACATCTAATCCAAACCACGGTACCAATGAAACATCTTGCTTCCCTGCTGCATTACAAATGTTCACGTTGGGAATAGTGAGGGGACAGAAAAGAGTGGCTTCACAAAGTTTTGGCTTAAATCCTGCTTTGTGTCTGTTCGTTTGTGGTGAAGGGGTTGTGGTTTGGTGGAATTGAGTGGCAGAAGTTTGTGCTCTGGCCTTTTTTTTTAAAAAGAGTAGTTTGCAATCTCAAATAACATTTTCACCCCCCACCCCCAATCATGATATAGGGACCTTCGCCAAGTACCTACTAGTACACTGCTTCAAGAATAAGCTTGGGACAGAGATCAAGTGATACAGATTAAGTGGAAAAATGTATTTCCAGACTTTCGCATTACCTTGTACCTGGAGGCTCAGAAAATCAGTCCTTTTGGGAATGGGAAGTAAAAGAAACTCCTGAAGGATTTGTATAGGTTTCCTGTTACCTTTTATGATATTAAGATTTGCAAAGCGATACGATTTTTTAAAAAAAAAACTCTTGTTTGGTCTCAATGGCGTTTTATGGGCACGTTTTAATGGAATTCGTAAAAAGGTGGAATATTCTTGGCAACGTGGAGGCAAAAACTACTCAGTAGTCAAACCCAAAAGAGAAATCACTTGTTTATTCTGGGGAAGAAATGCCTGCGTATTTAAATTAAATTTCAGCTGAAATAGTGCAATCTGTTTAACAAACCAAATGTATTTTAGATGGAAATGTAACGGGCACCTCACACGATTTACAGATGTACTGCTTTGTGTGATTTACCCGCCACCTCAGCAATCACAATCGAGGTATTGTTAGTAACTAAATGTGTCTTTGCTATTGACCTAAAGCGTACTGTGATATTAATTATTTTCTGGTAGTGCATGCTTTTTTTTCTATATTGTTAATATGTCAAACGCAACTTTCTGTGTGTTTTATGCAGTAAAATAGTTTAAATCCCAGGTTAATAAGCATTGTGATTTATATAAAGAAATGTAAAACATCTATCTATATATAATCTGTCTCACTCTGTTTGCCTTTGTTCCTTTATTCCCACTCATTATTTACATTGTCTTTCTTGTTCACTCGTTTCCATTTGTAAATCTCTCTCTCTCTCTCGTTCTCCCTTTCAACTACTCCTGTAGAGCTTATATATTCCTCTCAGTGTTTGGTATGTTCTGTACACCTGCCCCAAAGATGTTCTGCGGAAAGGTACTTGAAACTGACATTGAAGCTAAGTCTACCCCTGGGGTGATCCTGCCTAGTGATTCTCTCGGAAGTGCTGTTTACTCTGGAGAAAAGGTCAGGCAAAGTGATTGGAACATTGCTTCCCAGAAGCAGGACTCCTAGGCAGGGAGCCAGCCATTTGTATTAGAGACTCCCAAAGTCAATCGGCCCACTTCTGCGTCACTTTCTGGTACCCTCGTAGAACGTGTCTTGGGACCGGCAACACAGATTACCAGGTGATCTGACTGGATATATAATATATTGTCCCTTTAAGAAAATAGAATTGTGTGCAAAATAAGAAAATGCAGGAAATGAACTTTTTCTCTTGTTAACCTGAGTTTGTCTCTCTGGAATGTTGAACCAGTGTGGTTAACTCTCTAATATTTCTTGATTGAAACCTGTGTCGCATCTTAATCAGACTAATGCCTTTCTTAATGGAAGTGAATTTTTTGCATGTGTTCTTGGAGTCTAGTTCTGCTCGATACCCAATCTCACTGATAGGTTTCAATTGACAGCTGAGGATTTGTGACTGGACCATGAATCAAAACGGCAGGCATTTATACCCCAGTGCCAGTGACGATACTTTGGGAATTGCTTGGCAAAGGTAACATTTTAAATATTTCTAAAATCTACACCTGCATATCAAAACAAAACCGTGAAGCTGCATTATCCCCTCTTGTTGTCCTGCATAAAGACGAATCACTTAAAACTGTCTGGCACAATCTGCTCAAATCTCGACTGTCAAATCTACTACCTCGACAATTCTTTCCTAACGTTTGTAGTGTGTAGTGGATTTAGAAATCTTCAACTCCTTGTATTTTCCCACATTGCCTGGGATAAACATGGCTGCCGCCCTCTTCAGAGAATTTAATGGAAAACATCTGTTCGGAGTTCTTTAGGGAGGCTGAAGTTATGTTCAAGGAGAGTTTTTGAACAGGGGAAATGTTTTAACTCTTTCACATCTGGAGGCTGGCTGCCTTCGTGCTTTTCTCAGTGGAACAGTCAAGGCTTTTCCGTCCTTGTGTCTTTGGCAATTTTTCTAAAAATTGTAAAGAACATGGTGATTTTCTTTTGCAGTAGTTTCACAGCGCACTGGAGCCGCAGCACAGCACACTGTGGAGCTGCGCACTTGTGGGATACAGGTTTGACCGCCTTTCCCTCCCCCTGTGTACCTCTGTCTCCTCCCTCCACTCTCTCCCCCCGCTGAGTTCCTGTTCTCAGGCATGCTGTTGTGTGGAGGTGGCGAGCAGAAGCCAGACCTTTCTCCGCAGGAAGGGAGGGCAGATCAGCTGGGAGTCTGCACTGGGCTGCTCCTCCTGGCAACTAGCCAATTGTGGCATTGGCACCACTCCAGACACAGGTCATCCTCCCGCCTTCTTAGCTGCAGGAAGTACTTGGCTTGTGAAGGACAAGAAAAGCGAAAAAACTGGGGAGAGTGGTGATGATGGTGGTGTTTGAAGTGGGGGAGAAAGAGAGGCAAACTTTTGTACCTTTTAAACAGGGCAAATTTCTTTTTTTAAAAGAAGTTGTTTTCTTTCGATGTGCATGAATGTGCTTTCAGAGGAGAGGAACAAGCTGAGGGTATTTCTAAATGCACTTACAAAACAAAGTGGATGATAAATGTGTCCAACACCACCGTGTGGAACCCAAATTAAAATTCCATGGAGAAAGTCATCTTTTAACAGTGTTGAAAACTGGACAAATGTTGACCAGCAAAATGGGATACTGCAGCCTTAACAGTTACGGTTCTGATTTTTTTTAACAGAAGAATGATTACTTTTCATTAAGTTTGTGCAAAGTAAGTGACAGACCCTGGATAGCTGAGGTACCTCCTGGTGTCTTTTTAATGAAAATTATGTGAATATATCAAGCAACTTTATAGGCCATGTATGCCGTTAGTGAAATGGTAAACTCCATACTGTACCCATTAATAACCAGTCAGGAGCTTTCCTGTCTTTCCCTTCAATATGTTAAAATCAAAGATACTTGAACAATTGTTATCTTTATCAATTTATAAATTGCGCATTCAGCTGGTTCACAGTTTGCAAATGCCAGATTATATTTCAGTGTCTCTAGCAAGTTTTGTCCCCCCAAAAACTGGATTGAATTACAGGGGAAATTATGCCTATTGCACAAACTCAGGCTTTGCATATGTGTCATGTTTCAAGCTATGTTATACAAGGATAACACTTTACAGGGGCTTTTGAACAAGTCACAGTGCCTCAGCCAAGTCTATTACAGCGTATTGTACAAAGACGTGTGAGCTTTTATGTCTGTGTATAGTTTCTTTGTTTTATGATTTCACATTACTAACTCACTCATTGGCAGTTAATGCTTCTGGTTCGAGCAATGAGTGTTTGTGGTCAGTATGTGGGGCTTGGCGTTTTGTCCAGATGTGTGTTTCAGATGTATCAGTTCTGTATCCCATAGAGGAGGGCCAGCTCTGGTTCCCATCCAATGTCTTGTCACTTTACATGTACGTGCAGGAAGCCTCATACAGTATTTATATCCATTTTTGTACAGTTTCTAAATTTATCACTGTCCAAGTGTGAAAGGACCTTCCAAATAATGGGTGATGGAAGGCAGGTCCAGACAAATGCAAAGGAAGTTCAGTACCCAACTGGTTAATCCCTTCACTTCAAGCATCTATACTCCAGTACTTCTCTCCCTTCTAAAAAAAATGTTTCTGTTGGACTATCCTGGAAAATGTACTGGGTCAGCACTTCCTGCCATAAGTTTATCTTACTGAAGTAACTTACATTCATCTTACAGTGAAGCAGCTGTTTAATGCTACACTCCTGGGGAGGATGTTTAACTCAGTATGTGAAGAGCTGGAAAGATTGCTCCAGCGTTCCCGAAATGAAGTTTCTTTTCAAAAAAACTACATAAAATGTCTTATTTCTTATGAATTTTCTCAGTTGGAATAGCTTTCCGGAAGGCCCTGCCTTGATATTATATAACGATGGGCAATAATTATTTAAAAAATCATTGGATACAGGGTGGAGAGGTAAAACTTTGCACATGACAAGACTGTGTTTTATAGAAAGTGAGCTTTTGTTGAAACACAAGTTATGTCTGAGTAACTTCATTGGGGTTTAAAGAATAAAAGTGCATAGTCAATGTGTTTTTCCAAAATTCAAGGCTCTAAACTTTTGGTGATCTTAATTATAGTTTCTTGGAAACTCTTAGAAGCTCACACAGAAATGCACCCTGCCTGCCATGTATCACAGGAAATGGGTCAACAATCTATTAAAAAGCCATTTGATAATCTAATTTAAGCCATAAATTAACCACACTGAGTACTTGAGGTGTGCTTGTGAGAAAAGGGTTATATGAATCGATGGGGAGTTGAGGCATGAAGAAGATTATTTGTTTCTCTCTAATCATGGTCACGTCGCAAGCTGTCTGGTAACCATGGGAAACCAGACATGATGTAATTCCAGATTGAACTTGAACTTCAGGGACTTAAAAGGGGGAACAATAGACCATAGCAATCAATAAAGTCTATTTTCCACACGATTATGTTTGGTGCTTCGAGTTAACCTTTATGGGAATGGTAGATGTAGCAGCTACAGTGCAGAAAGATGATCCATTGACAAAATACTAAAGCAAAGAAACAACTTTGCATTGACACTTTCTAGCAAATCCCAAGATTCGAGATGGATTAGAAAGTTTGCACTCTGCAGTAAGCCGTTTCACTGCTCTGTGGGCTCTTTGTTCCCTTAGGTAGGACAAACTTAATCTTTAGTTTCCTGTCAGATGACTTTGGCAGCGCCTGTATGGGGGGAGAGGAGAGGAGGAGCAGGCAGCACAACACAAAATACAGCTCCAACTCTGCCCAGTGCAGTGTGAAATAGTTTTAAGGTGGAACCGTTTTACCTGGTTGCAAACTTTTAAGTGGGACAGTCTTTCATTTGTACACTTTGGGTTGGATTCCAGATGGAAAAAAAGGAGTCCTAGTAGAATAGGATAGGTAAGATGCTGGTTTCATTGCACAATGATTTGGCAGTTCAGTTTCAGAGATAGCCAATGCCAGTTGTCAGTTAAATTAAGGGTGTCGCAACAGGGGACAAATTCATCCGTCTGGCTTGAAAGTAGCTGGCTCACCAAGTAACAGGATGCCGACTGATATGAGTGATGAGAGTCTCGAAGAACTGTGTGGCCCCTTCACCCACTTATCTTGTCGGATGGAAAGATGGAGGGAAATGAGTGGCTGTGATAAGAGAAACAATTAGGAGGATGAATGGTACCAAATATAAAAATGCTGTGTTTAAAAAAAAGACAGAGCAATGCTATCTAGATTTCCCCTTGATTAAAAACCTCTGCAATGAACATAGCAACACTCCAGCCAGACACTGGAGAAGTTCAGAAATAGATGGGGCCATAAAGAATTACCTTAAATGTGTGATTGGCTGAGTTGAAATGGGAATGTTTGTATTTTCGGATTGTGGATGACATTGGACAGAAAGGATTTATTTTAAAATGTTCAAGCACTTGTATTCTGCACAAAAAAATGAGCATATCATTGCTTTCATGTTACACAAATGGCACTTCAGATAGGAAAACACATCAGTCTCCACCACTGACATTAAAGCTGTGTTCTGGCATTCTTTAATGAATGAAAATAGTTTCTTACATTCTTTAGCCCCATTCATTTTAGTGATGTTGTTGGTTCTTGGGTAGAGTTTTTTTTAAATACTTCCTTATAGCTGGTAGTTTCTGAGGATGGCCTTGTAGATGTAGATTAAATTTATAACTGTAATTATGACTGTAATCCGACTGCAAGATTTAATTAGAAAATATGGTGACTTGGAAACCAGTTACTGTCAGCATTATGAAACTTATTGGCATTTGGAGACGTAAATGGATTAGTAGCTGCGGAATCCTAGATGTGTGGCTGACCATTACTTCACAGAAGAGGAACACAAACAGAGTCCGTAGCGTTCCAGAGAGTCGGCCACGCAGGATAGGTTAATCTAACATGTAGATGTAAAATGGGTCGTCTCTTCAATAGTGCAGTAAGGCAGCCTTTCATACCATTCCTTTAGTAAGAAAACACCAAGTCCTGTTATCCTCTTAGGGTGCAGGTCATGATGTGTTGGAAAAAACATAGCAAACAGCATAACCAAGGCTCCCTACCAACCTGCCCGCTCCCTCCATTCATCGGGCTCCGGTCTGCTCCATGTCTCCCACCCGACACGCCCTACCATCGGTGGCCGGGCTTTCAGCCTCTCTGCCCCCACACTCTGGAACTCCATCCCACGGGCCCTTTGCTTCGCTTCTTCCCTTACCTCCTTCAAGGTCAGTCTCAAGACCATTCTCTTCGACCGTGCCTTTGGTCTCCCTCCCACCTCTCTGCCTTCCCTCACCCCTACACCACCCCTCCCCCGTGCTCGGGCCCAGACATCTGACTGGTCAGCGCTTTGGGACGTCCACCCGATGTGAAAGGCGCTCTATAAATGTAATTTTGGTGTTGTTGTTGTTGTAAAGTGTTGATACAATGTAGTTATGAATTGTGTTCAACACCTATGCTGTATGTTTAAACAAAATTAAAATGAATGCTCTTCTTAAGGGTGGATTAAAGCAACATCCAATGTGGTTTTA